AATGCATGATGTCAATGCGTGATGGATGCATGAATGAATGAATGAATGCAAGGAGAATTCTCTTGCTTCCAGTCGAATGCCATTGTTCAGTCAAGAACAATCAAGAATGCAATGTTTACACAGCCTCACAGCATCTCCTCCAAACATGCTCATCCATACATGCAATCCTCGCTTTTCCCCATTTCCCAGAAAGTTTCAAGAGAAACAGGATATTTACATACTCTCAAATCATCCTGCCAAAGTATACTTTTTTTTTTTTTTGGTTTTAGTTGAGAGAGAGAGAGAGAGAGAGAGAGAGGGCGCCCATTAGCAGGGAGGAGGGGCAGACAGGGAGAAGCAGACTCCCTGCTGAGCAGGGAGTCCAATGTGGGGCTCAATCCCAGGACCCTGAGATCATGACCCGAGCCGAAGGCAGACGCTTAAGGACTGAGCCAGCCAGGCACCCGTCAAAGTATACTTTTTGATGACAAATTGAAAAACAAATTTTAATTTGTTGGGCAAACACAACTCCAATTTAGAAATTACATCCCAATGTGACAGTCATTCATATCATGCTGCATTCATGGTCCATCCAGTGTTGCCCAGCCCATGGTAGGTACTACAAGCCTGTCCTACAGGTGAGAAGCCGAGGCTCAAAGGGCTGGGGGTGAGGGGGGCTTGGAGTCAAAAGTGGCTCCTGGCCCCTGGAGGAACACTTCAGCTGCTGGTGGATATGACCTCCTGTCAATTTGCTCCCCCATACTGTGGGATCAGGGGACTGGGTGCCAGGGGCTGGCTCTGCCCAGAGGGACAGTGCTGGGAGACAAAAGCCCACGTGAGACAGGAAGTGGGTATGGCCCAGGGCAGGGTCCGCAGAGAGGGCAGGAGCACACCCAGGGGCCAGGACTGGGGACACCTGGGACACAGACACGCAGACACACACGCAGGCTCGGGGGACTCACCTGGCTCAGGGCATCAGCCTTGGGTGTCAGGCTCCAGGGGGGCGGCTCCCAGCCTCGAAGAGGCTCCATGTCCCTCTTCAGGACCCCTCATTCCCCAGCCGCTGTCCCAGGACCCCCGCCAGCCGGTCGAGCTCACACTCAACCCGGAACCTGCCTTCTCTAAAAGGAAAGGGAAAGAGAAACTGTCGGTGGCCCGATGGGGGAGGCTATTCCGATCGGAACTGGGCCTCAGTTCCGTCTCCCAATATCTGCCGTTGTGGGAGCCAGGCTGCCAGGGGCCAGGACCCCACAGGACCCCACAGCGACGGGCGGGAGAGGGGTGCGGGGCTGGCTGAGCAGGAGGCGGGAGCTGCCCGGCAAAGCAGAAGTGCTCGCCAAGGGGAGGGGTATGCAAAGGCCGGAGGCGGGAACCACACAGACAGCCTCGGGCTCCGTTCCTCCTGCCCCGCTAAGTTCTGGCTGAGCAAGCTCTCCTGGCCTCCCCCCCCCGTCCCTCAGCAGCCCCCCTGACTTTCCTCTAGAGCCGGGTGCCCCCCCAGAATCGTGCATCTGCATTTCCCCTGCCGCTCTGACGCCCAGGGAGTCACCCAGCTGCTCCCCTCCAGCACCAAGGCCATAAGGAGCCCTCCTGGTTTCCTGCTCCCTGTCACAGCGTCGGCTGAAGCAGGGTGACCGTCCCCCCAAAGGAACCCCGTCCCCCCACGCAGTGCCCTCTGTCTGGGACTGGGGAGGGCTGGTTTCCATCTACACATTCCTGAGCACAGCTCTGCAGAAGGGGTCTCTCCCCAGACCGCTGGAGGCTGGGGGAGGGGAGCACCCTCAGTCCCCCCCCTCCCCCGACCCATGGTGGGCGTGAGGGAGGGGGTGACGCTTTGCCTTCCCTGAGCCCCACCCGCTGGGTCCACACCCCACCTGTCCCTGGGAGGGGGCTGGGCTGGTTAATTCTTGCTCCCATTTCACAGATGGGTCAACGGGCTCAGAAAGCAACAGGGTCTGGCCCAGGGTCTCTGGGGTGCGAACTGTGTTCAGACCCAAACCCTAATCTCCCCATCCGGAAGGGGCTCCCCCAACCCGGGCTTCCCAACACCACCGCTGTCCGCAGAGCTGGTGGCCCTGCATGGGGGACCCCTGCACGCCTGGTGCCCTGACACAGGCTTGGGGCTGGTGAGAGGCAGCGCACCCCTGCTGGCGCCTCAAATGGGAAGTGTCCTGGGGGGTCTCCCCCGGAGCCCCGTGGCTCCCACGTCACATTTCAGCCCCGGGGCTCATGTGATGGGCATGGCACCCTCTGACTTCCCTCATCTGTGAGGCTGCACGTCAATTAACCGTGGCGGCTTCCCTCCCAGCAGACCCATCCAGACCCCCATGTGCGTGTCCAGCTCCGAGGGCCCCGGGCACGTTCCCATCAGACCCCGAGGTCCGGCCCTCACCAGACCCAGGAACCACCCCCTCCCGTGAGCTGATCTCCGGTCGCCCAGCCCAGATGGACCTCGAGCCCCTTCCTTGTCCTGACTTTGGCGCCACTGGCCCTGGGGTCACTACCTAGTCCCACTTCCAGGGGACACCGAGGAGGACAGCCTGGGTGCCAGGGAAGGAAGCAGGCAGGGGTGAAGTCACGGGGCTGGGGTGGGGGCTGCCCAGTGCTCAGAAGCGCTCTGACCACCGTCCCCGGGATGACCAGCCCAGCCCAGCCTCCGAGGCAGGAGAGGGGTCAGGCGGGACCCAGGGGCTTGGGAGCCCCCACAAGACTCCCGTGGGCACGGGCCATGCCCCCCACACCTGAGGGCCTGTCGGAGGGAGCCCCCACCCAGGACGGTCACCATGGTTTCCCCTCATTGTCACCAGGAACACAGGAGGACGGCTGCCCTCTGCCTTTCTCATTTCCACACGGTCACTGGATGTCATTTGACAAGTCATTGGACAGATGAAGTCCAGCGTGGGTGTGCGGCCCCGTTACCAAGTCTGACTCTGTAAGGGACGCGCCCCGGCCTGAGGAGATGTGCCCGATTTCCCACTCGCTCATCCACCCGAGCAGCACCTACGGGGCAGCTTCGTGTCCCGTGCGTGGCCGCTGGCTAATGTCGCCTGCAGGTCCTGCCGGGACCCTTCCTGGGGACCTTCCCTCTGCTGCGTGGTCTGGGCCCAGTGAGGCTGGGGCGCAAGGGGGTCTGCAGGAGAGTCAAGACGCCCGTCCTGGGGGCACTGGTTGAACTAGCTGAGCAGGGCGACCCTCGCAGATGGTCTGGACCCACCCCTCCTTGCTCAAAGAGGCCAGGGGGTGTGCCTGATGCTCTTGGGGCCTGCCGGCTCTTGCCCCGCCAGCCGAGGCCGACCCCATGCCCGCTGGGAGGGAAGAGGCCTCGTGAGCACCTCCGGTCCTCCTGAACAATGAGCAGCGTCCCGGAGCGAGGCGTGCAGGGGGACGCAGTCCTGTGGGACTCTGACCTGGGACTCGGCCTGTGGGTGAGACCCCACCTCTGCAATGGGCGTGCTGATGCCCACCCACTCGGAGAGGCTGGCGCTCGGGGGGTGGGGGCGGGGGGAGGGCGGGCCCAGGGGTGGGGGCTGCTCTCTCCTCTCATCACCCAGTCCAAGCCCCAGGCCCCGCTCCCAGGCCTCAGTCGCCTTTGTAAAGTAAGTCCCCGAGGGCATCAGTGGGCCCGCTGCTTTGTCACTGTCCCCCAGCTGCCCAACCACCTTGCGGCTCCGCGGGGCTGGGCCTGGGGTGGCCGACGGGTTTCCTCCTTTGCCTGCAGCTTGCTTGAGGCTCCAGCAGCAGGAGCACTGGAGGGAGATGCTAAGGACGCAGGAGAGGAGTCCTTGACCTCGCGCTCCCCCTTCTGGGGGTGTCCCGGAAATGGGCTGCCTCCCTCGTGGGGGCCTAGCCCCCTCCTCACAGGACCAGCCCTGGCCTCTGGGGGCTGCACTCTCTCCCTCCCTGGTGGGCTGTGTGGACTCCTTCCTTTTTCTGCTCTTCCTGCCTTCAATCCCGGGACATGAGTGCCGTCTGACCCCTGTGCGGAACCTGCCGCTCCGGCCACCCCAGCTCCTTCAGTCTCCCAGAACCTTTCTTGGGCCTGTCTTCTCTTCTGTACCGGGGGTCCTGTGATATACTGTGCAGTGTCAGGCGGGAGGCTCCCTCTCCCAATCCCGGGGCACGCATCCGCCCCCCTTGGGTCTCCAGCGTGGTCCAGGCCCTGGAGGTCTCTGCTTGCTGAATGCAGGAGCCCACAGATCGGGGCGGATGTCCATGCAGGTGACCGTTTTCTGGGTGAAGTCATTTTTCGCCCCCGTGTCTCGATCCCTCATCGGTAAAACCGGATGATCACAGGTGTGACAGGGCTGTCCTCAGCAATAAACAAGACAACGTCCGTCGCAAGGCCCGTAGCAAACTGCTGTTATTTCTTTGGGCTCCATGTTGCCCAAAGATTGGGGGTTAAAAGAGGCTATTTCTCTCGCAAGAAATTGCCAGTATTTTATGATTAAAGCCAAAGCGCCCATGTAATTGAGAAAACGATGCGTTCGCATGGATTTTAAAGCTGAAATAAAAACAAGGGTAAAGGCTAAGCCCGGTGCTCCTATGTCTGTAGGACCGCCGTCAGGGACGCAGAGCCGCGACATGGGCGTTTACTCTGCTCGCCTTAACCCTGCCGGGCAAACCGCTGGGCCCTGGACCCTGGGCCCGGGACCCTGCGGGCTTTTCCGCTCTGCACCTGCGCCGTCTTCGGAGCCCGCGCCCAGGAGAAGCAGCTCTGTGCGCAGGCGCACCACGTGCCTGCTGCCCCTCCGCTCAGCTGCTCTGGCCGCCGGGACAGTGACGCCATTGGCCGACCGGCTTATGCATATGCAAAACAAGTGACCAGGCGCTGTTGGGGCTGTGGTAGGGGCGTTGCGGGCTGGGGAACCATCCGGGGCGGAGCCGGCCGGGATGACTGGACCTGGGGGCGGGGCCGGGACGGAGACGCGGGCTGGGGTGGGAGGGGCGTGGCCTAGCCGGGCAGGAGTGGGGCCCGCAACCCGGAGCAGGACGAACAGCCCGGAGCGGGACTGCAGGAAGACATGAGCACGGTCGACCTTGCCCGCGTGGGCGCGTGTGTCCTGAAGCATGCGGTGACCGGGGAGGTGAGGCCGGACGAGCGCAGGACGGTGGGTGGGCCCCTGGCACCTGCCCGTGCGCCCTGGCAATGGCATCCCCGGCCGGCCTCGGGGGTCCTGACAGGGTCATGGAGCTGGAGGGCGCGGACGCGTGTGGGCGGTGGTCCAGCGGCACCCCTCGCCCACCCCACGCAGGCCGTGGAGCTGCGGAGTCTGTGGCGGGAGCAGGCGTGCGTGGTGGCCGGCCTGCGGCGCTTCGGCTGCTCTGTGTGTCGCTGGATCGCCCAGGACCTCAGCAGCCTCAGGGGGCTACTGGACCAGCATGGCGTGCGCCTGGTGGGCGTGGGGCCCGAGGCCCTGGGCCTGCGGGAGTTTCTGGACGGGGGCTACTTCGCAGGAGGTGCCTGTGCTCTCCTTCTCTCCTCCCACTTGTAGCCGCACCAGCTAAAGCTCAGGGTATTGGTCATCCCCTCCTTGCCCAGCCCTGACCCTTCTCGCTCCAGGATCTCCAGTCATCTTTCCTGGGGTCCTATCTGCATCCCCAGCCATGATGTCCCTCCCACTGTGCACAGTGGCAGGGCCCAGTGGTGATGCTGGTCTCCGATCACCACCACGGTCTTTACTGGGTGGCTGCAAGCCCCCCACCTTCCCAGGAGCCTGGAGGAGTAGCTAGGACAAGGCTGTGGCTTGCCCTCCCATTCCCACCCTGCTAGACTCCTCTCCCCGGCACTCACAGAGCCCTGGGCCGAGTGGCAGAGTCCAGGCAAGCCCTGCTCCTCCCTGCCCCTGTCCCGTCTGGGCCTCCACCCTCCTCTAACAGTGGGGACACTCTGCTCTGCTCCTCCCTGTCCTGCGTGGGCAAGGGTGGACAGGGGGCTGGATGCAGGGGCGTGGGCCAGGTGGTAGATGGGCCTGAGTACACACCTGTGGCCTTTGTTTTCCAGAGCTCTACCTGGATGAAAGCAAGCAGTTCTACAGGGAGCTGGGCTTCAGACGGTGAGTGTGGGGGGCACTGCTTCCTCCGCTCTCCCTGCTGGCCTCTTCCTGGACACTTGCCTCTGGTGGCATCCGCTGCTCAGCCGGTCCTTCTGCAGGGCTGTCTCTTAGGGGCCATTACGATTGTAGGTTAGGCTTCTCACCCAAGATTGACCCCCAGCAGCCTGCAGAGGGGACCCGGAGCCTAGTGCCTAGGGATCATCACAGCCCCTCCAGTGCCTGGGTCCTACATATGCCTGCTGCTTGGCCTGATCAGTGATGCCAGCTGAGCCACATCCCCCCGCTCACCCAGCCTGGGGGCCAGTCCACACTCCCCAGGTCTTCTGCGGGGCCCCAGGCCTGCTGACCCCAGGGTGCCCCACAGCTCTGGCTGGGCTGGCTGCTGGCTGGCTGCCCCATGGCCCCCAAGTCCCTGGTGAGATGAGGTGAAGCTTGCTTGTATGAATGGGTCTGTGCATCTTGTAGAGTCCGGGGACAGGCACTGGGGCCAGGGCTTCAGAGAGGAGCCAGAGCCTGGACAAGCCAGCTGTGTCTTTGCAGGTACAACAGATTGAGCATTGTGCCCGCTGCCCTGGGGAAGCCTGTGCGTGATGTGGCCCTCAAGGTTTGTGATAGCCAAGGCTGGGTGGGACTTGGGGAGGTGGGGCTTCCCTCTAGGGCCGACCTGGACCTGCTTCGCTTCCTCCAGGCTAAAGCTGTTGGCATCCAGGGGAACCTGTCGGGGGACTTGCTGCAGAGCGGAGGGCTGCTGGTGGTTACCAAAGGTGGGCTGGGAAAGGGGCGTCAGAGGTCAGTGCCTCGTCTCATGGGGTGGGAAGGTCTTGCTAAACTTGGCCGCATGCCCTGACCCTCTCTCCCTCCCTTCCTCTGGTTTGTTGGTCTTGTCAAATCTTCTCCGTGGGGTGGCCCAGTTCTTGAGTGTTGGCTTAGCTGGGTGGGGTGTGGCCAAAACAGCCCACTGGTCAGGGTAACCAGGTGGGGTCATGGACAACCAGGGCTGCCTCCGTCCTCCCAGCCTGCAGGGGTACCCTGACCACCTTCCTGTTGCTGTAGGTGGTGACAGAGTGTTGCTACACTTCGTCCAGAAGTCCCTGGGTGACTATGTTCCCCCGGAGAGCATCCTGCAGGCCCTGGGCATCTCTGCGGAGGGCTGGGCCAGTGAGTCGCCCCAGGTGAGCTTGGGCCTGGCGGGGACACTGCCTGCTAAGAACAGCCCCCTAAGCACACCCAACTTCCCTGGGTTGAATGCTGGGTGTGGCCAGGTGTTAGGCTGGACCTTGCAGGCTTCAGATAATTTTGCGCTCATGGCAGCCCAGGATATCCCTGTCGCCCCAGTCCGCAGAGGGGTAACAGGCTAGCTAGGTGGGTGGGCACAGCAGGGCCCTCCCCAGACAGCAGTGGGCTACCCAGGGCTGCAGGGCAGACGAGCTGCCTGTCCTCTTAGCCTCAGGGGGGCCAGGGCTCGTCCGAGGTGACCATAGTCACCATCAGTGAGGTCCTGGTGGCTGGCCTCCTGTGCGCAAATGGAGGGGAGTGTCCAGCACTTGGGCCACAGACCACTGGTGGGTGGGACCAGCTGCCCTTGACTCCGGGGAGGGTGGCCAGCTTGACGGGGCTTTTGCTGCTCCACAGCGTGATGAGGAGGCGTGCACAGGGTGAACCCCCGGGGCCTCTGCGGATCCGGGAGGCATCTGCTGCCTCGGGCACGCTGGGAGTTGGGTGTGAAGAATCTCTCGGGAACTTCGGACTGGTGCACCAAAGCTCTGCCACATCCCAGAGTGGCAGTGAGCATTAAACTAGGTTTCTTCATTGGCTCTGAGCCCTGTGTCCTCGGCAGCTCTGTCTGTGTTCCTATCGGTTTCCCCCGGCCAGCAGGGTGGTCAGGGGTCTGCAGGCTTCCCTGGGAGGGGGTGGGGAGTTCTGGAAATGCTCCTGCAGCCTCCCTGGTGGCCTCAGGCCTGTGGCACAGGACGGTCAGGGCTCTGAGGACGGGCCCGGGGTGTGGGAGCTGAGGGTGGGATTGGGAACTCCCCGGGAGAGAGCCCGGCCTGGAGGGGTCGGGCTCAGTGCTCATGTCTGCTGGGTTTCCAGGGAGGAGATGGTCTCCATCCAGCCGCTGGAGCATGGTGAACAGTGGGACTTAGGGAGACGAAGGACCTTTACTGATGAGATTTGTCACGTGCACCCCGCTGGGGGTGGCTGGCCAGGGGGAGTCTTGGCCCAGCTGGTTCATCCAGCACCCCTCCAGTGCCATTCCCTGGCAGGTGAAGCAGGCAATGGAACCTAACATGTCCAGCGTGGAAACCTGCCCCCGCCCCCCCTTGTCAGAGGCTCTCTGGTCTGGGGGGATCCAGATGATTTGTCTCAGCACCTCCCCTGGCCTGGCCTGGATGACCACAGCGGCCTCCTAGCTGGCCTTCCAGCTTCCCCCCACCTTACCCCCCAGCACCCCCCCCGCCCCCACCCCATTCAGTCCTCTCAGGGGTCATTTAAAAACTCAGCGCAGGTGACAGTGTCCCTTTGTGATTTAACTCCTCCACTGGCCTCTAGTTACATAAAACCCGAAGTCTACATTCTGAGCTATGGCTCCCTAGTCCCCTCGGCCCACCTCCCGACCTCAGCAGCCCTTCCTCCTGTCTGAATGGGTGGTGGCAGAGGACCAGGATTTGGGAGCATCCTGGTCACTGCTGTGCCTGCAGCACAGAGAGACCCTGGAGACAGTCATCAGGAGTGGTTCTCCGTCCACATGGTGCCCTGTTTCGCCCGAGGCCACCAGCAGCCAGCGCAGAGGCAGCGCTTAGGGCCTCGGGCACTGCCACCCCGCCTGCCCCCCGGGGCCCTCCTAAACAGACAAGGCCTCTGACTTCTTGGAAGCGTTTACTTAGGTCAAGTCTGAAGCTCGGACAGCTGACAAGGACGCTTTGGAGAGTGGGTGCAGACAGTTAAACAGGTCTCCGGGGCTGGGGCGCAGCGCTCTTGGCTGCAAGCCGGAGGGCACCAGGCGGTGCCACTCTCCCCGGGTGCTGCGGCTGCGCTCCAGGCGCGGGGCGGACGCGGTGCTGGCCTCGTCCACTGCTCCAGCTGCGCGCGCGGAAGGGACACCTGGCCTCGGCCGGTGGGTGCGCGTGGGCCACGCAGTGCGGCTCTCCCATGGCTACCAGACGCGGCAGCGCTCGTGCGGGTGCATGTGGGTGCCCTCGGCGCAGTGGAAGGCGTCCGCGAAGGCCCCCAGGTTCTGCAGCGAGCCCAGCACCCTGAGGGCGACCAGGGGGGCCTGACCAGCTTCCCTGGGTGCGCGGGGTGGGGGGAGGGGCTGCCCGCGGGGAGGAGGCAGGGGCTACTTGCCTGTACTTCAGCGGGCTGTGCACGTCGGTCTTGATGGACTGTATCGCAAACTCAGGCCGGTAGGACCCGCACCACACCTGTGGGCGCACAAGGGGCGTGGCTGCAGGCCTGGGGAAGGGCGGGCCTGGGGGGGGATGGGACGGAGCGATAAGGGGGGGCCCTGAGGGGATCCAGGCGTGAGTGGCCGGGACAGGCGTGTGGTCTTACTTCTTTCTAGGCACAAGGGAGTGCCCCCTGTCCCAGGCTGCCCCTTCTTGGGTATGGGGAGGGGAGCCCCAGCTCCATCTGAGTCCACCCCGGCTCCAACCCCCTGCCATCCTTTTTCTCTAAGAAGCTTTCCAGGTTGTTAAGTTCTGGTTCTGCCTGGCTCGCCCGCTCACTGCGCCCCTGGAGGCATCCCATAGTGGAGGCCCTTCAACTGGTTCCCAGGTGGCCCGGCAGCAGGTGGGGTGGGGACTAAGGCTCCTACCTGGGCATAGTTGATAAAGAACAGCTGGTCATAGCTCAGTTCCAGTCCTGGCAGCTGCTGGTCCTTGCCACCTTCTGCCATCCACTTTAGGTAAGCCTGCAGGTGACAAACAGGTGCTGGGCCCAGTCCTGCCCTCGCTCCCAGGGTCACACCAGCCCACAGGGACTCCAGAGTCCTTGGGTCCAGGAGAATGGAGGTCTGGCTCCATGGCCTACTCCTGGTGGAGGTCCTGCCTCTGCAGCTTCAGGCCCTTTGAGCACCCCCGGGGACGGTCACTCCTACCTTACTCGCCCAGTGGTCATGTCAGTACTCCGCTGGCTGGGCTCAGGCAGACGGCCGCGCAGCACCCACCCAGAATGAGCTCCCGAGGCCCAGGGCCTGAGGCTGCAGGTGTAGGGTGCTGCCGAGGCCGGCGGGCACGTGGTGAATGTCACTGTCTCACTTGGAGATGGACAGTGGCTTCCCCAGAGGTCAAAGGCTCCGCTAAGGTTGGGGTAAAATGTGGGGAGGTGCCCACCCGCCCACGGCCAGGCTGGCTCTCCCGGGGCCCTGCTGCCTTCCAGTACCCATGGAGGAGGGGTCCAGGGTGCGCCTCGGCTTGGGCAGGGCACCGTCTCTGCCTCAACGAGCCACCCGTCCTTGAGGGGCCCCTGCTCGGACCCACCTTGTACGCCTGCCGCACCCCTCCGTTGTCGGCGATGTTTTCCCCGAGTGTGCTGAAGCCATTCACCTGCGCACAGGACCCGGCATGGCGGGGCGGCCTGGGCTGCCCTGCCTCCCCCAGGGGCCAGGGCTGGGGTGCGGGTCCCTGGGGGTGGCGGTATGGCTGATGGCTGGCTCACATTCTGGTTGTCTGCCAGATCCCAGGAGTAGTTCCCGTACTGGTGGATCATGCACTCTGACTGCTTCCGGAAGTGCTGGGCCGAGAAGTTGCTCCACCAATCCAGCATGTTGCCATTCTTGTCGAAGTTCCGGCCTGTGCGGGCACAGGTGGGCTGCCCACACGGCCCTGCCTGCCCAGGGCCAGCCTCACGGCACATCCTTTCAGGAGCCCCAATACCTAGAGCTCGCATGTGAGCGGGGAGTGGGCCCCTGAAGGGCACCGGCCTGCTTGAAGGGTCAGCACAATGTCACTGGGCTGCTCAGGCCCGGGAGGGGGACTTGGTGGTCTCCCATGCCACCTCCGAGGTCAGGGCCCAGGGTGTCTGGTCTCAGGGTTTAATGACCCTTGTTGGAATGTCCAAACTGTCTGGGGAACACATGGCCCTGGGGGGACGTGAGGCTGCCCTCAGAAGGTCCTAGTGGTCAAGCCCTGTGGGAAAGCCAGTCTTCCTGGATTGCAGCTGGAGCCCGGGTGCATGGTCACAGGCCACTAGAGCCGGGCAGGGGCCCCCAGCCCACGGTGGGAGGTGGGAACGTCGGGTCAGCGTATCCCTGGGCTGGAGGGTGCTGGCTGTCCTGGAATGACACCAGGTCAGGCTCCAGGCCAGGCCAGGACCTGTTGGCTTCAGAGCTACATGGGATATGGTGTCGCTGTCTCCATGTCACAGGCCCGGGGAGGAGAGTGAGGTGGAGTCAGGGTCAGGCCCTGGTGCTCTTTCTTCCATGGCTCTGCCTAGAGCAAGAGGCCTGACCGGGGCCTGCCATTCAAGACCTGTCCTGCCACCGTCGCTCCCCTGGGGACCTGGCAAGTTCTTCCCATGCCCTGGGCCTCAGTGTCCCCATCTGAATCATGAAGGGGTTGGATGGACAGTCCCCTCCCAGGACTGTGGCTCAGGGGAGAGGGGAGGGGTGTGTGGGTGTGTGACTTGGAGGCGTCGCTCCGACCCCCCACGCAGCTTCCCTACCATTGTCGTCAAAGCCGTGAGTGATCTCATGCCCGATGACCATCCCAATGCCCCCGAAGTTCAAGGCCTGTGGCTGCTCCTTGCTGAAGAAAGGAGGCTGCAGGATCCCAGCGGGGAACACTGCACGGGGACAGGGTGGGGAACAGGCCCTGAGCGAGTGCACCTCCTGTGTGCCAGGTTGGGGTGGGCACCCCTGGGGCTCCTGCCATTGAACCCTGCAGCCCAGGAGGCAGGGCTCTGAACGGGCCCATGTTACACACAAGAAAGTCAAGGCCCCGGAGCCAAGAGGCCAGGGCCAGTGGGCAGCAGATCCCGGCTCTTCCCACCTTTCTCTGCTGCCCTGGGACAGGGGTGTGCGGTCCCACTCCCTAAGACCTCGCCCCACCGCTCACAAGGTGAGGAACGTCCCCGCAGGTGGGGTGATGGGTGGAGTTCCTA